ATGGGGAACTTCACAATAACCATGGGGAACTTCACAATAGCCATGGGGAACTTCACAATAACCATGGGGAACTTCACAATAGCCATGGGGAACTTCACAATAACCATGGGAACTTCACAATAACCATGGGGAACTTCACAATAACCATGGGGAACTTCACAATAACCATGAGGAACTTCACAATAACCATGGGGAACTTCACAATAACCATGGGGAACTTCACAATAGCCATGGGGAACTTCACAATAACCATGGGGAACTTCACAATAACCATGGGAACTTCACGATAACCATGGGGAACTTCACAATAACCATGGGAACTTCACAATAACCATGGGGAACTTCACAATAACCATGGGGAACTTCACAATAACCATGGAGGAACTTCACAATAACCATGGGGAACTTCACAATAACCATGGGGAACTTCACAATAACCATAGGGAACTTCACAATAACCATGGGGAACTTCACAATAACCATGGGGAACTTCACAATAGCCATGGGGAACTTCACAATAACCATGGGGAACTTCACAATAGCAATGGGGAACTTCACAATAACCATGGGGAACTTCACAATAGCCATGGGGAACTTCACAATAACCATGAAGAACTTCACAATAACCGTGGGGAACTTCACAATAACCATGGGGAACTTCACAATAACCATGGGAAACTTCACAATAACCATGGGAAACTTCACAATAGCCATGTGGAACTTCACAATAACCATGGGGAACTTCACAATAACCATGGGGAACTTCACAATAGCCATGGGGAACTTCACAATAGCCATGGGGAACTTCACAATAGCCATGGGGAACTTCACAGTAGCCATGGGGAACTTCACAATAGCCATGGGGAACTTCACAATAGCCATGGGGAACTTCACAATAACCATGGGGAACTTCACAATAGCCATGGGAAACTTCACAATAACCATGGGGAACTTCACAATAACCATGGGGAACTTCACAATAACCATGGGAAACTTCACAATAACCATGGGGAACTTCACAATAACCATGGGGAACTTCACAATAACCATGAGGAACTTCACAATAGCCATGGGGAAACTTCCAATAACCATGGGGAACTTCACAATAACCATGGGGAACTTCACAATAACCATGGGGAACTTCACAATAACCATGAGGAACTTCACAATAGCCATGGGAAACTTCACAATAACCATGGGGAACTTCACAATAACCATGGGGAACTTCACAATAACCATGGGGAACTTCACAATAACCATGGGGAACTTCACAATAACCATGGGGAACTTCACAATAACCATGGGGAACTTCACAGTAACCATGGGGAACTTCACAATAACCATGGGGAACTTCACAATAACCATGGGGAACTTCACAATAACCATGGGGAACTTCACAATAACCATGGAGAACTTCAAAGTAAAAGAAATAACCAGCTGTTTTCTCAGGTATCTTAGAATAAGAAACAAAGGCGATGGATCACAACAAGGTTTAACTATTGGTAATAAAAGAATGAGTTGTACAGGCTAGGGGACACCACACGCAAGGAATTAAAACTAGTAGACAGCAGGAAAACAGCCATCCTAGAACCAGACTTCAAACAAGGCAACAGAGTGGAGGCACTTACCCACAGCCTGTAGGTAAGTGCCTCAGGTTTCCCATCATATTGCAGGGATACTGACCTATAGGCTACAAGCCAGTATCCCTGCAATATGATGGGAAGCCTGAGGTCAGGCAGTGAAACACCACGAGAGGAGTTTCATCATGGAAAAACAATAAAGGTTCCCGGAAAAAATCCTGCCTCATGAACCTACTAGAAGCCTATGAGTAACTGATGGTAAGAGACGATAGAGAGACGGGCACACTACATATTCTTGTGTAAGAAACACTGCTAACCGAACAGGTAGCCATTATTTGCAAAACCACGGCAGTACCTACAAAACAAACAAAAAAAATATTCAATTAGCTCTTACATATTTGTTACTTTTATTATATGGTGAAATTCTCTTTGCGTGTTCTTAAATGTTCAAAAGGCTTTGACAGGGTGCCCCTTTCCCCTCGACACACCCGTATAATTTTTTAGGTACAAGCCTGGGTTACAGAAAATATTGTTCAAGGATGAATTCAAGTTGGACAAATTTGGGTTTAGAATAGATATACGAAAGCACGGGTTGGACAAGAGATTTGTAGATGAGTTAAACTCCCAGGTAGCGTCATTGAGGCGAGAAATTTGGGTAGCTTGAAATATAGGTTGGACGGATTTATGAGTGGATTTATGGGCCGATAGGTGTACTGCAGTTTTCCTTCATTCTTGTGTTCGTGTGTGTGATAACTGAGAAAAACAAAAACATAGAGTAATGGCGAGTATCAGGGTAGATACAGGTAACCAGTGGAGTGCTATAAATACTTATAAGCTGTCTCGTATGAGCTTGCACGACTTTACACATTCCTTTATTCTTATATTCCTAAATTTGCCTGTCTTCGTATTTATCTACCAGGCGTTGTTGTTTACCTCTTCACCTCTATCTCATTTTCCTGTCTCATCAATGTATATATATATTTGCTCTAAGAAGTAATGTGATATAAATTAAAGTGAGTTTAAGAAGTGCAGCACTGGAAGGTGTATCAATTTCACTGGATTGCTTCCAACTCTGTTAGGATAAGTGTATTTATTATTATTATTAAAGATTAGCCGGTATTCTCCCGGCCCGGGCCTTTTCCAAGTGGTGGCCCGGCCTTGGCTCCCTCTTTAGGGAGTGTCTGAGACCTAAGTCTCCCATGGGAGGAGGCACAAGTACCTCCTCATCTTTGGGACCAACTGTCCCCAGGCCTAGCCACAAGCTAGGCCTCTTTGGTCTGCCATCCCCGCCCCAAGGGGGCTAATGGGAATGACAGTCTTATGAGCTAAAGGCTCGGGCTCAGGCACCTACCCTACCCTAGAAGGGTTAGGCATGGTGTCGATGGATAAGTGTATGATTCTCCTGATTTTCTGACCATTTTTGCACGATTAATAATAACCGTGTACCGTTGTTATGTAAACGTTGCGTGTTCTTTTTCTTGACTATCTCGTTGCCAGAGGTATCGTGATAACTTTTTTAATATGCCTGTTTGTGGTAACGTGATTTTTATAGGTCTATGTAGCCTAACTTAACCTAATCCATCCTAACATAACAGAACTAACTAAATATACCGTAGTCTTAGTTAATATAACTTAACGTAAAGGAAATAGGATTTGAAAATGGTTGTGTTAAGAAATTGAAGTTGAGTCCCAAGACCAAAAAAAAAAGTAACGTGGTTATGTGAAGATAGGTCGGACCTTTGGAAGGTAACGTCAGTGAAAGGTCAAGGTCAGTCTCACTCAAACTGCTCCCCACTTTCCCCATTACCAGCAACTTATTGCTCATCAGCGAGAGCGTTGACTTTACGACCGACAGATCCAAGGCACTGAGTGACAACACAGGTGTTGCAGGAATGACACACGTTGCAGAACTAAATTTTACTGGGATACCGTTTTCTCTCTCTGTTAGAGCTTTAACAAGTCGTATCTATGTGGAACTTGGTAAAGCTCCATCCAGTGCGCAACGTTATCCCAGTTCAGGATTGTTCTGCAGCGTGCCGCTTGTATATTGTTGACATTAGAATGTTCGAGTTTACGAAATTTTTTTTTAAACTGTTCGTAAGGTGGTAAGTAGGTAGCTCCGGTTTCGCGTCCCGAGGGTACCTATCTACCTATCTACAAATCTCTCCAACAAAAGTAGATCATAAGTAAAAAGATTGTCACGCTGATATTGTTGAGTTTAATTTTCCTAATTTACCACTACTGTATTCCTATAGCATATAAATATGCACTTACCAAAGCTGTATATACTTTATTATACTTCATGTAAGCTTAACTTTTAAAGTAAAGCTTAACTTAGAGAATCTAGACATGGGTGTGGCGTTTGATAGGCTGAGGTGGCCATGTGGTGATCTAATCAATATTACACACCGTCCAACTGTGACTCTGGGAGGGGACACTAATTGGAAATTCCGAACCTGAGTACGCATAAATATTCCCCGTGTGGATGTATGCTGTCAAGAATATATGTACCGTGAGGGGTATATCTTAGTGAATACATGCTTAGAGTTTACTCTAATCCTTATTTTAGCTATTAAAGTATTCGTGACTTTGGGTGGAATGGTTAAATACAAATTTAATGACCCTCATGTAGTCGACAGGCTTCAAATCTCGTTAACTATCCAACCAATCGTATGTTGTATTTAGTGTTCACACCTATTCTTGCCCAGTTGTGAGTGCGGGGGGTCAGGTTTTATTCCCCCCTCCTCCTTAAGCGAGAAACGGGAGCAATGGGACAGCTGGAAATTAAACACAGCCTGTACGTTAACATTTCCATTCAAGGCAGGTGAATTTGCAGATCTAAAGAGTGTACAGAGAACCTTTATGTACATGTAAGTTCCATCAAACGCCTTAACTACTGGGAACGCGCGTGGAAGCACTTGGCTTGTACGTAGAATTTTCCAGACGGTGCAACATACTCCTAAAGAAAAGTAGGGGGTGCCATTGGTACACTTAAGAGAAAACACAGTAAGTGTCCGGGGCTCAAGACTGTTCAACAGCCTCCCACCATGCATAAGGGGAATTACCAGTAGACCCCTGGCTGCCTTCGAGAGGTAGCTGGACAGATACGTGCGGCCAGCAGTAACAGCCTGGTTGATCAGGGCCTGATCCACCGGGAGGCTGGTCAAGGACTGGGCCGTGGGGGTTTTGACCCCCAGAACACCTTCCAGGTAGACTCCAGGTAGACACCTGGATGTTAGGAAGTGTTTCTTAAGCCTCATTGTGGTAGGGACCAGGTTCTGAGAATCGACCCCAGCAACTACATTATTATAATCATAACGAAGCGCTAAACCCATAAGTCATACAGCCCCTGGAACTGTAAATAGGTGAGTACACACATAAACAAAGATACCAAGGCAGTTCAAACGAATGGGCTCTCACCTGTACATGAGCAGCATAGTTGTCATTCCTTCCATTACACCGCCTCCCTCGTCTCTCGCCTCTCCCGTTTCCTGCTGCTTCTCTCGTCCTCACCGCCATCTTCTCATCGTGGGGTCGTCGTCGTCCTGTACTAATTCTCTGCCGCTTGACCACCGTTCCAGTTTGTTTTTATCTGCTCGTTTTCACTTAATACCTCAACAATTATTACCTGACGTTCTCCCGAACCTGCTTCTCTTTTGTTCCTTAGCAACGTGTAATAGTTCAGTTTTCCACTGGGGCGTCTTGGTTGATTCCTCTTCACTTCGTCCTCGTATTCTTTGAATGGTAGTTTCTTCACCACTTGACGCCTGCAGAAGGCGCTGCCGAGCACTGATTTCCCAGCAAGGAGGTTGAATAGTATGTTGGCGTGCCCTTCAACACCTACGTCTTTCTCTCGCACAGCCGCTCCCGTCAGGTGAAGGTTGTGGGTCGAGGGCAGCTTGGCGTGTTTTCTTCCTTAAACGTCTGATGATAAGGACGCGAGGACACCAGGTCCAGGCTCTTTCGATACCTTTCTCTCTGGAAACTTTGGTGATGATATTGATACTTTTCCTGCGTTTCTGGCACGAGAAGAAATCTTGTTTTGCCTCTACCAGAAGACAACAACAACGAATGACAGCAGGAGCAGTTGAATATACTTGTGAGATGGACTTGTAGTGTTGCAGCAGTTGATATAGTTGTATTAGCGAGGGAGTCAGGGATCAGAGGAACAGCAAAGGGAAAGGATGAAGGACGAGTGAAAGAAGTTTGGTCGCCAGCACACTTAGGATGCTCGAGCCATCGTCCTGGACGTCTTGAGAGATTGATTACATTTACAAGATGCTTCGCCAAGTACTCTTCCTCCTTAATTGTCTCTTCCTTCTTACGGTGTTACTTGCTCTTCCCTTCACCTGGCCGAAGCGGAGGAGGTAACAGGAGGAACACCCGGAGCAAGGGACCATGTCTTCACCTCCTGTTGATGCTGTTACTGAGAAACACCCGGAGCAAGGTATCTTATCTTCGTTGTTCCATTCCTTGTAGTGTTGCTGCCCTCCTGACGGAGGAGGAAGAGGTATGCGACGGAGGGCAGCTCGCCCCAAGCCCCTGCTGCTGACTACTGGCCCCTAAAGCAGCCTGTGGCGCCATTTATGTGTCGCCAACCCTCATTCCCCTTGTTACTGCCAATTGTGAGGGGAGGGAGAGCGAGTGGTGCTGGTGGGTCCTCCCCTCGTCCTCTGTACCTACCCACCACCATCTTACACCCTTTAACCATTTCCCCTCACCCCTGGTTTCCTAAAGTCTCGCGCCTTTCTTATCCTCCCCCTCACCGTTACTCATCAGTTCTCCCTTCCTCTCGCTCCCTTTTTCAAAGTCCAAAATTTTTATTTCATTGTATAGTATACAGTGTGTAGTTTACGTATAATAAAATATTGTTAAACACAAAGAGAGCCACTAGTATGCATCAGGATTTCGGGCAAATTAATGGTAATGCTTACAGGCTACCTACCTGGAGTTTACCTGGAGGGTGTTCCGGGGGTCAGCGCCCCCGCGGCCCAGTCCTTGACCAGGCCTCGTGGATCAGGGCCTGATCAACCAGGCTGTTACTGCTGGCCGCACGTAGTCCAACGTACGAACCACAGCCCGGCTGATCGGGTACTGACTTTAGGTATCTGTCCAGCTCCCCTTGAGGGCAGCCAGGGGTCTATTGATAATTCCCCTGGGAGGCTGTTGAACAGTGTTTGTGTTTTCTCTTAGTGTACTACCTTGGTGTACTAATGGCGCCCTTACTTTTCATTGGGGTATACTGCACCTCCTGCCCAATCTTTTGCTTTCGGGAATAGGTAGAACCCATTCTGTATGATGGAATATGACGGGAAACATAACTAGCTTTTGTTTATATTTTGTAACTGTCGAATAGAGTAAGGTAGCAGCACACTGACGTTGTACTCAAATTTGTTTAATTAAAAAATCTTACATTCTCCCTCATCACCCCACGTGCCCCCTGCCCAAGGCCTCCCTGCCCACAACCCTCTGACGTCCCTGTCCTCTACCCCCAGGTTCCCTACCCTCACCCCTCAGCCAGCCTCTCAGCGTATGAGGGGAAGCTGTTCATAGTCTCTCCGGTTACTTCTCCCTTCGGTTCTGCCTACCCGTATGTGTTGTCTGGTGGTGGTGGTGGGAAGGGGCAGGACTGGAGGGAAGGACGGAGGGAACAGGAGGGGCGGATAGAAAAGGGAGGGGTAGAGGAAGAGGGAGGTAATGAAGGGTCTTTTGTTCTGTTCTGGTTCACATTATGTAGTTGTTAGTTTCTCTGGTTCTTTCTTCCTCCTCCCACATGCTTTTCCATACCTCCCTCCATCTGTCCGTGCCTCCATTCGTCCGTGCCTCCCTCCTTTCCTCCGTTTTTCCCTCCCTTTGTCCGATACCTAAAGACGGTGCCGGATCAACCGGGCTGTGGTTCGTACGTTGGATTACGTGCGGTCAGCAGTAACAGCCTCGTTGATCAGGCCCTGATCCACCGGAAGGCCTGGTCGTGGACCGGGCCGCGGGGACGTTGATCCCCGGAATGCCCTCCAGGTAGGAGCCTCCTGCCGTCCGTGTTTCGCTACGTTCGTCCGTGAATCCATCCGCCCGTGCCTCCCTTCATCTGTCTGTACCTCTCTACGTCATCCATATACCAATACTGGATTTAATACTCTCGGTCATGAACGACTATTTGAGATAGAAAGTGAGTCAATAGCCCAAAACAGTTGAAACAATGTGACAAGAGGTGCAACGCAAGTATTGACAAAGTTTTTTTCAGAATAATAGGTCACTGAAATAGACTGTCCGCTGAAGTTGTAAGTCCAAAAATAATCCAGTCATTTAAGAACCAGTTGGGCAAGCACTTTGCAAATACCGTATTCAACTAGATGCCGTGCAGGGGTTGGCTCTGGTCAAGTGAATCCTGACAGTTCTGGAACTGATACACCGGGAGACCAGGTTAGGGACTGGGCCGCGGGTAGCGGCGTTGACTCAAAACGACCTCCAGGTTTATTATATGAGTCGCATAGGGCATAATAGCAGTGATAGTAATAGTTTTAGTAGTAGAACTTGAACTTTTTTACAACATTTCTTCTCGGGTGGAGAGGAATAGTATGAAATACCAAAATGAAGGAAGAGAGATGAATGCAACATAATACGATTCTTTATTGACATTTTTCAGCAACGCAGTGAGCTTTATTGAGTCAACTTGCATTGTGTTTGCAACTGTACGACTTCCGTGTGCCTTTTTTATACCTAATAAACGTAACTGTCGGTTAATTGCTTGAGATAATATATTGCTGCATTAATTTTTTTGGTACGATAGTGTATTCATTTCTGCAATAACAGCCTGGTTGATCAGGCCCTGATCCACCCTTCAGGTAGGTAGGTAGACAGGTTTCACTACAAATTGTGTTGCTTTATTTTCTACTCATTCCTAACTACCGTGTCTACATCCCATTAATTTACTACAAATATTGTAGCTCCTTTTTCTTATGTGGCATTTGTAAGTTATTAGCATGTATTTTCACTAAACCAGACTCAACCACTTGATGAATCAAGGCCTGATGAACCTGGCTGTTACTGCTGGCCGCGCGCAGTCCAGCATGCGATTCACAGCCCGGGACTGACTTGAGGAACCTGTCAAGTTACCTCATGACTGAAGGATGTCGAAAAGTCTTTGACCCCTCACATTTATTGAATTTTATCTTAGAACAAGCTTATCACCAGCTTTTCATTATACCCCAATATTATACCCCAGTGTTACAAATAAGTATTATACATCAGCTTAACACCTTAGTATTAAATATCAATATTATACACTAGTATCATACACCGGTATTATACACAAGCATTAATCACAGTTATAATACACCAGCGGCGCTTTATGACCCTTGTAGGCTCAGCGCTTCTTTTTGATTATAATATACGCCAGTATTTTATGACAGTATTATACCTTAGTTTTGCCCTCAGGATGCAACCCATACCGGTCGCCTAACACCCAGGTACCTATTTACTGCTAGGTGAACAGGACACCAGGTGTCTTAAGGAAATACGTCCTAATGTTTTCACCCGTACCAGGAATCGAACCACGGACCTTAATGTGCGAATAGAGTGCGCTAGTAATCGAGCTACAGGACACCTCGTAAGCAGAAACATCAGATTTTAATCAAAACTTTCAAAGGGCGCAAAAACAAAAATGGCTATAATTAAATATTTGAAATGAGTACTATATATTTGGGCCTCGTGCTAGGTAGTTTTCCTTTTTAATATATAAATGGAGAGCAAAATCTAGCTCTGGTAGACCAGTTGACGGGTCATCTAACAGACTCGTGTCAGGAAACACTTGTCATATTTTCTGACAAACTATCACCACCATCAAGTGATTTTCTATTATCCCTATGTAGGTTCATTATGGGCATCAAAATGAAAAATAATTTCTTGTAAATGTGACTACCTCCATCCCCGCTCGCAGCCCACCTACATATTCGCAATAAGCTACAAATCTGTGTAACAAGATCAAGGTACACACTGCGTCAACAAAAACAGCCGATTTTATAAAGAGAAACATGGAGAGGAAAAGACATTATGGTTTAAATTTATTGGATAGTTGATTATTATCCAGATAAGAGTTGGTGTAGGGAGAAGGTAGTTTTTTGAAGGTAAACTTTTAAACAACTTTATAGACTTCCCATAATGGCTCTGAAAATACATTCATGTGTTTTTTTTCCTTCACCCTTCCCCACTAGCGAATGCAATTACCCTCAGACACAGTAGTAATGTAGGGTCTTTTCTTTTAACGAAATTAAATTGTTCCGTAATTGAGTGACAAAAAAACAATATTAAATTTTTGCTTAGGGGCACTGTCAATTTCAGCCCAGCACTAGGCAAGACCTCTCTGGCGAACCAAACATAATAATGCTAACAATATTAACAGTAACATTATTTCAAATTTGTTTATACGTTTTACCATGATGCATTTGACTTGCATAACAAAAACAGTTTTATATATGGATGGGACATATTTATATTGAAGAAATGGTTGACATTATGCATTTATATATTGAGTTACAAGTATATGGGGCAGAATATAACCCTATGTAGGATCAACTTGCAAAATACCATAGCATTCACTCTCCTCTCAACCGCTGTTTTCAAGAACGTGGCATTTTATCAGTATGAATCCTGGCAAGTCTGACCAGACTTACCTCAGTCTGTTAAAGCAATAAACCATTGTATACATAATATTGTATTTGTTGAAAAGTAGTTCGAATATATACATACTCCATGTTAATTAAAGGTTGGGTCAATATTTACTTAGCCACTCCAAAAATATGGGTTATTACGTAAACTCTTCAATAATAAGTGGGTTATGTAATGGAGACCTTTTATGTTTTGTGCTTATTGGAAAAAAATTTGTTTTTGTAATCTAGAAAAAAATATCCTAACTTTACATACCTTAATTATTTTTTTTAGTTTAGTACGTACTAGGTTATTTTAGGTTAGGTTGTGTTTTTATTACCAAAAGTTTCTTCCTCATTGACTCACAATTTTACTGCCTCCATTGCACGACTCATTTAATAATTGTAAAATTTACATACCGTAATAAAACGAGTAGCTGTAGATAATTTTAGTAAAAAAAAATTAAACATTTGCCTACAAAACTATATTAAATCTACATACAGTATTTATTATACACTGTAAACTATAAATTACCACATAACTCCGTTGAACATCTAAAGTAAATCTTGACCGAAGTTAGTTACTGAATGTGCATTTTTTTTTTTAAATATTAAGATTTCTTGACAATTTACTTGTTCCTATTGTTTCACATCGCATGATATAATTACGTGGATTTTTAAATAAAATTGGAATAATTTGGTTAATAAGAAAGTTTGTAAGTACCTCTGCAGAGGGTCTGGGACTCCACGTATCGATCTTCGCCACTTTGCATATTCTCTCAAGTGTTTCCCAGAGAAGAGGACGACTTCGGCAAACTTGGGGCTCGTATTTATTTCTTGGCTGAATTGTAGTAGTTACTTCACTCGTCGCAGGATGGGATGAGGTCCAAGGCGGGATAGAACCCTTGGGTCAAGTAATTACACTAGGCGACATGAATCGTGGACCAGCGCAGGAGCTGACTCAAAAAGAAAAGAAAATAGCGGCATGAACTTAAGGAGTAAATATAAACATAAAAAAAGATCTTAGTTTAACCTTTAAACTGTTCAAACGTAGATCTACGTTTTTTCAACATTTGAAAGTATGTAAAAAAATGTAGATCGTCTTTCTGTTTTTTTTTTTACATTTGAAAACGTGTAAAAAAACTTTGATCTATGTTTTTTTTTTATATATTTGAAAATATGTAAAAAACGTAGATCTACTTTTGGAGCACTACGCATGTGAACATAGATCTGTTTGGACAGTTTAAGGGTTAACTGGGGATGATGCGCCAATCAACAGTGTAATAGCTGTCGTTTTCTTCCACGTGATATATAATTATGTAATAACGATTTTATAATCATCAGCAAATGTATTTTCCTGTCTTTAACGTCTTGAAAATATCGAACGAAGGCTAGACCGTAACGTAAAGTGAGAGTATTGAACTGGCTGCATGCTCTGTTTTTAACACCCTTCAAGTTACATGCTAAGAGCTGATCAGTTGGAATTTAAACCTGTTGACTACACAGAGGGTTATAAAGGCTGCATGTATTGTGTTCACTAGTCTGTGATACTCTAATCCCAAATATGAGCCCATGGGGATTAAATTAAACTCGAACTGTATATATTCCGAGAAACATACCCCTCCACATGTACATGCACTGTTGCTCTCAGAGCAACTGAGAACTGATATAAAGTGCTGAGAACTGGTGTTCTACCAGTGCTTATTTCAAAACCCAACCCCCTCAGAAATATACTAATACTTCTCTTTCTCCCTGTATGCCAACTACAACACTCAGCCCCCAGGTAACTGTCTCCTGCTGGGGGAAGAAGGGCTGTTCATACGTACCCGCTTAACTAAGATTGAATCTGAGTACGTTCACACAAGTTATCTTTAAGTCAAAGAACAGTACGGATTTTAATTCTTAACTGCTAAAATTATGAGATAATCAACAGTACCTCTCACTCTGGAATAGGGAAAATTAGTATTAACAAAATTGTGTAGAACAGACATTCAAAAATAAATGCAACAATAGGAATGAAAACTTCAAGGTGGTACACGCATCGTCTCTCCGCACTCCTGTTTTTATTTGGTGAGAATAATGTCAGGTAACAATAGGTGGTCACGCTTGTGTGTGTGTCTGGTCACCACTATCAGGAAACAAATGCTTGACACACCACTACAAACCTCAACTAAAGTAGACGTGTTGTTAAGAGTACAACTGAAAAAGATCAAATAGAGTAATCTTAAAGGTGGCATGGCGGTGGCCGTCTGTTCTCATGTTTTTCTAAGATGCATCTCTCAGCGGAACATAAAAGAGAGAGAGAGAAAGAAAGGTAAAGGAATCTGTACTACACGTTGGTGCTTCATGACAAGATATCGTGCGAAGTTAAACGTAAGAACAAGTGCAAAAATGGAGTTACCTTTTCTAAGCGAGGCTTCGCATACCGTATTGGAGCTTGTCTCCACTTTATGAGGTGGGTCACTTAATGTTAGTGAAAACTTTTGATCCAAGGAGTTGCAGTTGCCCTCTTCATCGGAATCAAATCTAATTATCTCCAATTCTCCAAGTGCTGTATGATCCTTACGGGTTTTGGGGCTTCCACATGTATACAAGTCGTACATGAATACATATGTATTATCTGCTTCATTATTACTTCATTAAATATAAAGTATGTCTGTCCCTCACCAATAAAAATATTTCATAAAATTATTTAGCTAAGTGGTCTTAAGCCGGCAGGTGTTTTCCTTGTGGCATTTTCTGTTTAATGTTTCACGAGAGAATTTACCAGCGTACGTGTCCTGCGCACTAGGCTTCTGGGATACGCCCCGGCTGTATTTATTGTCTACATTTTCCAACAGTGCAACTTTCTGTTTATTTTATCACGCCAGAAATAATAGGTCTGATTATTTTCATCCATTATATAAATCAGGAGAACAGTGGGAAAAGACAATAACTAATTGGTTTTAAGAAGTATTCAAAATGTGACTCAAGGTGCAGCTGCTTTAGGGTAGTCGCTTGGTGAGTTGTTAGGCTTAGAACTTATCGACTAGACAGTGGGTCATTAAGGGGCACGTAAGTTCCCAAGTCTTCTAATAACATGTTTATTTTTCCACTATAATCTACCTTGTCCATAATTACTATCGCATTTACTTTGTTTCGTAAGGTGAAGTCCAGGATCTTTCCTTAATTCATGGTATACCTTAACAAATCTTTGAGGACAATTGTTGTTGTCGAGGTCTAAGCTGTGCTCAGACCTCTGCGACACACACACACACACACACACACACACACACACACACACACACACACACCTGCAACCTCAACTAGGTGACTACACACACACACACAGCAGCAGCAGCAGCAGCAAGGGGTCACAGTTGGAAGCTGAAGACTCAGATGAACCACAGGGATGTTAGGAAGTATTTCTTCAGTCACAGAGTTGTTAGGAAGTGGAATAGCCTGGGTAGTGATGTAGTGGAGGCAGGGTCCATACATAGCTTTAAGAAGAGGTATGGTAAAGCTCACGGAGCGGGAATAGTGACCGGGTAGCGGCCAGTTGAAGACGCGGGGCCAGGAGCTGTGAATCGACGCCAGCAACTACAACTAGGTGAGTACAACTTGGCGAGTACACACACAAACAATGTCGTCCAGGAAAATGATCTCCGTTTGTGGAAATGTTTCCGCAAACTTAGCAATAAAAAAACTCAACCTAATTTTACTAAAGGCTCCCACTGACAAATTACCACTTCCACACAGTGTTCCACACGGAGGAAAAAAATATTTTAGAGTTCGGATAAAACAGTTTTACACGGACATTTGAGAGAGGTGGGAAAGGGGGCGTGGATGGGATGCGGGTGTGGCAGTTATCACCCGCATGAAACGTGTGGGACGCATGGGGAATAATTATTAAAAGGGGAGAGGAGACTGACAGGCAGACAATACAAGAAGAGGAGAGTTGCGAGGGGGCAGGAGGGAAGAGTGAACATGTAGTACTACAGAATATATGCAGTGAATTATGACTTACACGAGGAAAATACGAAGATACTATAAGTTAGAGGGATATTTCCGAGC